AGAGATAAAACAGTCATAAAGACCATGGCTGGACCTCCCTCTAGTGTTCTATGACCGAGAACAACCTATTACCCAGAGGAGTGAAGCCTAGGAAATGGCCCTGGGTAGAGTTGATGACAGTTTGTAATTGGAGAATCACCTTGCTTGGGTAGATCCTGGCATGGTAATGGATTCTGAGGCAGCGTGGCATCTGGTTTTAGGCTACTGGAAGTCCCATCAGGCCTCAGGAAGGCATCATGAGGTGAGCTGTTTCCCACTAGGGTATTAGATGGACAGATCACAATCAGATAAGGTATCCAGAAGTGAGACATTGCTGCAGGGAGACTAAAAGTCACTTGTGTGTTCAGAGCTCCCTAGCAGGAAGAGGCAAGGACTCATGACTGACAGAGCATCTCCTGTTCTCCAGAGGGTTGTAAATCCTATCTCATCTAGAGAAAAAGAGTGAGGTCAGTTCTCAAGTAAGCTGACGCCTCTCCCTTGGCAAGCACCTCAGACTTCAAGGAGAGTCCTCTATGCTCCAAGGGAACCTAGGAATCCACTGGGCAGCAATGGAGAGATAAGAGGTCTAAAACCAAGACCTCATCCTGTCATTTATAGCTGACTGAGAAGTCACAGGTAGCACAGAACCCACTGCTGTCTGAGAAAGATGCAGCTTTCACAGTACTCTTGAAGACACTCTGAAGGGATGGGTACCAATACTGGTCCATGGGAAATACCCTAATCTGGGTTAGCAGACAAATCTGCTAATCCTACAGTAAGGCTAGCTAGATTGAAATAGAAAAGTAGTGACTCATTTATAAAGGAAAACAACCTGCTCCTGCCTAATGAATACCATTATCTACTGCTGTCTACCCAGGAGGTAGATTATATAGGATTAGGACCAAAGGCAGAAGTTTCCACAGGTCTCCATCCAGTACCATCTTCAGGGTCCTCCACAGAGGACAAGGCTTTCCAGCCCTTGATTACCTGAGATCTCCTCAGGCATGAGGACAGAGCGCCCCCTGGTGGACAAGGGTCTAAAAGGTGTTCTGTGGCTGGGAAAGTGGGGCTCTGCCAGATCAGCAGGGAAGGGAGCTCAGCAAGCTGGTGGCTGATGAGCCATGTGGGCATTGAAGCTGAGCTCCTGTCACACACCTGTAATCCCAGCACTTTGTAAACTGACACAGAGAAGGGATTGTTTCAGAGTCTAGTGTGGCGATAGTGTGAAGGCTTAAAACAAAACAGAACGAAAGAAGGAGAGAGGGAAAACAGGAAGACCAAGAGAGGTTGTGGCTGCCTTGTCCCTGGAAGAATCTGTTGTGATCTCCAGGACAAGTACCATGGGAAGGTGGGAAGAAAGGTCAGGTGCAAATAGCATCCTGAATGGCAGAGGGCTTGTGAGGATTCCCTGGGGATGGCAGTCTACAGCACAGGCTGCCTTAGGTCTAGGGGAGCTGTCTGAGACTGCCTCCTGGTCTTGCACTGCCCCAACATCCCCAATGGTGGTGACTTCCTGCAGAGCCAGATGGTGCTGAGGGCATTGCCAAGTCCTCCCTTCTGTGGCCTGGGCTCTTCATTCCTTCCCTGCCCTCATGCTGTAATGTTTCCCTTACCTTCTTTAATCCACTGGAGCCTAGGAGAGCCAGAGTTCCCAGTAGCTGTGGTGCTGAACTGAAGATTGGGAAGCCTTGAAGCTTCTGGTACCCCAAGACTGGGAACTTCCTGACTTTAAGTTATGTCCCTGTTCAGTGCACCAACCCCTCTCCATGTATGCATGGGAACTCACCAGGCAGCAGCTTGGTGTATCCACAGCTCAGTAGAATTAAAAGACTTAGAAGTAGAGAATGCTTGCTCTTGGTGGCTGCTTTCTTGGCCATGGTTCCTTCTGACAGATGTGACTGCCTCTGCTGGGAGAATGGGGAAGTTTAGCTTGTCCCCCCGCTGTGGACCCAGCACATACTAAAGCAAGAATTTCAAACAACTGGCTATGAATTCAGGCCTCCCATGCTCTGACCATGCACCTCCCTAGTCCACTTTTCCTTAAATTTCTTCCTGCTATCTCTCCCTTGCTTTGTGACTTGGAACCTCCCTCCCTGCAAACCACAGCCCCTCTCACACTGGGTCATATGAAGGCTACAACCCTGAACTCAGTCCTGAGAACAACCTGTTTAGTCCTCCCAAACCCCATGCCCCACCCGCGGTCCCTTCTTCATCTCACTCACCAACAGCTGCACCCTCAGGGACTCTTGGCAACAGCATCAGAAAAGGGAAGAAAGAATAAACTGAATGCCTTGGAGATGGCGCTTCTGAAGACTGAAATCTGAGCTTGAATCATTTATACTGGGGCACGCCCAGAGCCTCTTGGGTGCTAGGAGGAGTTCCTGTCCTCAGCAAATCCTTGCTTGAACCACTTCCCCTGATTCTTCTCTAGCTTCACTTACACCCTCAGTCTAGCTCTAGACCAGCCCTTCTAGGATCCCCTCGGACCCCCAGGCAGCTCTTCCTAACTCCCCACCTCACTTCTCCTCCTCTGTCTCAGTTCTCCTGCATCAGAGACTCATTTACCCCTTCCCTATCACCCCTCAAGTCTTTTGTACCCTCAAATATTTGTTGTCCCACTGCCTCCCTCCCCCAACTACCCTTAGTCCCATCTCCCTCTCCTTCTCCCTTTCTCCCTCCCCTCTGCCCTTTCCCCAATTCCCCACCCCCACACCACCCCCTATCACCAAGTCTGCCCCAGATTAGTTATTGTCTTGTGAGGAAGGAAGGTTGGTGTTTTTCTACTTAGCTCTGTGACAGGGGAATCTAAGACCTTCTGGAAAGTTCTGCAATCACGGTTTTCTTGCCTGTGTGGGATGGGCCACAGCTAATGACAGCCACTGTTGAGTGTGACAGACCTCCTATGCAGTGCACTCTCCTCACACACTGGCTTGGGAACTTCCTGCAGGGAACTCAGAGCAGCTTTCTCTCCTGGATGCTGAGGCTGATCTACCTGGCTGAGGTGTGCAAGTCTCTCCTATGGAAAGACTCCGATGAAACAGTCACTCACCTTCTCTGTCCTTTGAACTTCCTGATAGAGTGCTCATACTGTTTTCAAGTCATTGCTTATGTAACATTTGGTCTGCGGGTCCAGCTGTTAGCTGCATCTCTGATTCTGTCTTATGCAATTTAAGTGAATTTTGTGTAAGATTTTTACATGATAAAGTCCCTCAAAGGGTGTCATCTAAATTGGCTTACAAGTAAATTAAAGTGATTATAAGTAGAGTTTTGTTTTCTTTTAGTTAATTACATCTAAATCATTTAAAAATTGATTCTGTACAATCATGGATGTATAGAAGCCTTGCACAATGTCAACAAACAATTTAAGTGTGACGTTTCCATGGGTTAGCTGATAGGAATTCAACCTCACATATTATGCTCCAGCTGGACTGTCTCCATAGACGACAACGGTGGGTAGATGTGGACATCCAGGCTTTTTTTTTTATTGGATACTTTATTTACATTTCATATGTTGTCCCCTTACCCCATCCCCCACCCACCCGGGAACCCCCTATCCCCTTACCCCTCCTCCTTCTTCTCTGTAAATGTAACCCCTACCTACCCCCCAACTCCCACCTCCCCACCCTCAAAATTCCCACCCCCTGGGGCGTCCAGCCTTCATGAGGTCAAGGTTCTCTTCTTCCACCTATGCCCAGCAGGGCCCTCCACTCTTAAGTATTCAGCTGAAGCCCTGGATCTCTCCCTAAGTGCTCCCAGGCTGGTGGTTTAGACCCTGGGAGCTGTGGTTGGTTGGTATTGTTGCTCTCCTCATGGTGCCGCAAATCCTTTCAGCTCCTTCAGTCCTCACTCTAACTCCTCCATTGAGAACCCCATGATCAGTTCAATGGCTAGTTGTGAGCATCTGCCTCTGAATATGTCAGACTCTTGAAGGCCTCTGAGGAGACATCCATATCAGGCTCTTATCAGCATGCACTTCCTGACATCCACATCAGCATCTACCTTTGGTGAATGCACATGGGATAGATACTCATGTGGAAAGGTCTTCAAATGGCCCCTCCTTCAGTTTCTGTCCCTCACTTTGTCTCCATATTTACTCCCTTGAGTATTTTGTTGCTCCTTCTAAGAAGAACTGAATCACCCCCACTTGGTCTTCCTTCTTTATGAGCTTCATGTGGCCTGTGAGTTGCAAAGACATCCAGGCTTTTAAGGCTGGAAGAGAAAAGCCTAAATTGTGTCAAGACTCTTAGAACAGAAAGTAAAAGAGGAAGGAGCACTAAGACCGAGAAGACACAATGTTGAGAGGTTAGAGGTGAATTGCTGATAAAACAGGGAATATTTTCAAATAAGAAGAGAATTTTAAGATCAGGTTTTTTTAAATTTTCTTTTAAATAAATGCAGCGGACAGTTTGATGTCAACTTGACACAAACTAAAGTCATCCGAGAGGAGGGAACCTCAACTGAGAGAAAATGCCACCATAAGATCAGACTGTAGGTAAGTTTGTCAGACATTTTCCTAATTAGTGATTGCGGATGGGGGTCCAGACCACCGTGGAGAAGCCATCCCTGGGCTGTTGGTCCTGGGTTCTATAAGAAATCAGGCTGAGCAAACCAGGGGGCATCAAGACACTAAGCAGCACCCCTCCATGGTCTCTGCATCAGCTCTTGCCTCCAGGTTTTTTCCCTGTTTGAGTTCCTGTCCTGACTTCATTTGATGATAAACAGTGATGTTGAAGTGCCAGTAAAAATGAAATGTTTTCCTTCCCAAGTTGCTTTAGTCATTCTCTCTCGTCACAGCTGTAATAACCCTGAGGAGGATAATTATACATATATATGTGTATGTGTATATATGCACACTCATTCATATATTTTATTTAAAAAATACATATAATATATATTAATTTTTCAAAAGAATATCTGTGAAAGTTAACTTAAAAAGAACAATGACATGGGGCCTTGTGGTGTATACTTTTAATCCCAGAACTCAAGAGGTAGAGGCAGGCAGATCTCTGAGTTTGAGGTCAGCCTAGTTTACAAAGTAAGGTTCAAGACAGCCAGACTTATGTAGAGAGACCCTGTCTCAAAACAAATAAAGAAACAAATAAGAAAACAAAAGGCCACTAAGGAAAAGCAATTTCCTTAAATATCATAAATTTATGTTCAGTCAAGATAATGCCTCTGTGGCTTCCTCTGAGATTGTCAGGCTATTCACTACTTAAAATCTTGGGTCTTAACTGAGTCAAAACTTACTTTAAGATCAATTTTGGTCAATCCTCAAGTCTACAAAGGCTGTAATTCAAATGGCTATTTGTCTTCAGAACTGACACGGGTGACATTCTCCATATTCAATAGCTCACAGTGAGAGGCCAAAATCAATTAAGAAAACAAGGCAAAGGTGAAAGCCAATGTATTGGCTCTGATTCCCAGGTCAAATAGTTCCTCCAGAGGACAGTGGAACACCTCTAAACAGGGCCTATATCTCTGGTAAGTCACCTGGCTTCTTTTTAAACACCATTCAAAATAAACATATTTTGAGACTTACATCATTTCCAGCCTCCTTCTGGACCCTCCAACCCCCTCCTACTTTTCCTTACCACTCCCTCACGTATTCAGAACCCCATTTCAGTCATTATTTTTATATGTGTGTGGGGCTGTGTGGTAGATGTATCAGCTGAGGTCTGAAACACAAAATCAGATGCTCTCTGCCTTTTAACTGTACTTATTTTTCTTTTCTTTTTTCTTTTTTTCTCTCATTTGTTTTCTTGTTTTTTGGACATGGTGTCTCCCTATGTAGCTCTGGATGTTCACGAACTTGCTATATAAAGCAGGTTGGCTTTGAACTCTCAGTGATCCACCTGCCTCCTCTTCCCTCCCAAGTGCTGGGATTAGAGGCATGGGACACCATGCCTGGCCAGAGAGCTACACTTGAATGTGCACACAAGGATAAGTGTTTGAAATGTAGTTAGAATCTGTATTGTTATGGTAACATGGCAGTTTCAGGTTCTCCCCCAGGGTCTATGGCCTCTACAGAGCCTCTTTCCCTTTGATGAGAGAGAGCTTGGGTAGAAGTGAGCTCTTATTTAACCAGCATGCATTCTGGGAAGAAGAGGGAGGGCATCCCAGGGAAGCATCCTCAGTATTTCCAAGGGAAGCTGCCTTGTGGGAAAGACCCTGATTCATTCCAGCAAAGGGAAAACCAGTAAAGGAAAACCAGAGAAGCCAAGAGGCTTTTCCCAAATCTCTACAAAACCTAAACATCTCAGTATCCCATGGGTTGTTTGTGCTCAGTCCTCTCAAGATGTGCTTCTGCAGTGATGGGAACTTCAGAAGGCCACTACATGTACAGAAACCTTAAAGATACAAACGGAGTAAACTAATGCATTTATCCTATTTTTAAAGCCTGGAAATTCAGAACTACACACTTTGCTTGGTACTCTATGTATAGAGGGTGTTCTGATAGGAAGAAGTGTGGAAAAGTTGAGTGACAAAACTTTACATGGGAAGTCTATTCAGAATTGTAATTAAGAGGAACAATATTAACCATGGTCTACGCAGTGTACTTTCTCTCCTGGGGATGGTATGAGGGTGAGGTTGCTTACCTAAAGGGTGGGTGGTTCTCAGTGTATCTGAGGATGTTCAGCCTTGCCCATTTGTGACAAGTTCCCAGACAGTTCCCTGACTGCTGAGGATAAAGAGTCTGAATTTGATAATGTAAATTTAGAGGCCTCTTAAAATAAAACAAGAGGCATAGATGAGAGACTCTCCATTGAACTTGAAGTGAGGTAACCTGAATACAAGATACAGTGGCAGAAACAAGAGAGGTCTGCTCGATCTGAGTCAAGGTGAAAGGCAATAATCGACTCTTAAAAGTTGTCCTCTG